GCCTGCCTTTTTCTGCAGAGTCCAGCATCTCTGCTCATTGGGTTTCTGTTTGCTGCACTGTGATCTTCTCCCCTGTGCCTTGCAGGGGACCCCCTGAGATTCCAGCTTCAGGGGTTGAGCTCAGCTCCATCCCGTCTCGCAGCCGCGGGATTCTGCTCGTCTCTTTGCTGTCCTGGGTTTCTTGCTGTCCAAAGGAGCASCGAGATCGGCATTTCCACTGTGAGTTTGCAGAGGAACTTTTTCTCTGTCCACCTCTGCCGATTTTTGTGTCCACCATTGGCGATGGGGGAGATCTGAGCCAGCCGGGATCCGCGCCACAGCGCACCTGCAGCTGACAGGGAATCATTGCACCTGCCCTGCCTGGCTGGGAGCCAACAGCGCCCCTGCCGACTGGGACTATAACTGCACCAAAGAGGAGGGTGTGTCTCTGTAAGACTGTCACTRARTTTGGGACTGGGCTGGTTGTTGCTATCGTTGTTGTTACTTGTTTCACCTTGTTGTACATATTAGTAAAAACAGTTATTCCCTTTTACCCATATTCTTGCCTGAAAGCCCRTGATTTTTCAAAGCTATAATAATTCGGAGGGAAGGGGGGTCATATCCACCACTCCAAGTGGTGTCCCTGCRTTCATTGGCAAACACCTGTATTTCAAACCAGGACAGAACCCTGCTGAAATCACAGAACACATCCACACGTGGCTTAAAAATCAAAYTCGAGAAGACTGGCAAGATACTTGTGTTCTTCTCTATTCCATGACTGCTCTATTGTAAAAAAGTCTAAGGTCTTTACATACAAAAATGTTCCTTTTTCTCCTCCTTCAGTTCAGGTAATAAAGGCATAAAGAGTTTCAGCTCATCAGATTTGACTAATGTAAACTCAATTTGGATATTATGTGCAGTCATGGAATAGAGAAGCACAGCAGTCAATATAACACAGTTGGGCCTTTGAGTCACAGGAAGAAGGGTTGTTTTTTAACTATGGGGGACAGGCAGTTTAGCATGTAAAAACGTGCTAAATTGATGGTAAAAAGACAGGAATTATTTGAATATGCTGCAGATCCATTTTTTTTTTTTTTTTTTAAATTTCCAAAGCAGAGAAGGTGTGGTCCTAGGAGCAGTGAATGGGAAGGATGACCTACTTTAGTTGAAAACCCCAGGCGAACTGAACCTACTTTTTCAAACGTCAGTCCAGCAAGCAATCCCATTAAAATGTGGTCTTGAAATCTTAATGTGTCTTTTTCACAAAATTACTGTGCTAGGAACAGGTGAAGAAAGCTTTCCATCTGACACCGGGCAAAGTCTCTCCATCCAGGCAAGCAGCCCCTCTCTCTGGGCTAATTCCTGAGGCAGCAAGGAAAGGAAATGATGTTTTCCATAGTGTAATGTCTTCAGCTTTTTATTAATTTATTTTACTATTTTTCAGTTTCTGTTGAATCTGTTAAACTCTGGAGGGGGAAAATGTATTACATTACCTTGCACCATTCTGAGCACTAGTGCTGGCAATAATAGCTGTCCTGCGGCTTGTCTTCTATCTCTTCTCACCACAGTCTCTCCAGGAACTTTCCATATATTTCCTTTTAGTCAATGTCTTATTAGCAGATTTAAGCATTTTAGGACAATACCTGAAGTAATGTCATTTCAGCATTGTCTTCAGGGTACCTGAAAAAGGGCTACTGTGATCTCTGGTGGTTGTACGTCTGGAAATTACAACAGGCTGTGGTTTTGAGGTCACTGATGGTGTATGTTGTCAGGGATGGTATTCAGAACTTTGTACAGCAAAGGGCACTTATAGTATTTCTTATYTGAAGGTGAATTGGATTTCTGCTGCTGGTGAAGGTGCATGATGCTACCAAGGCAGTTTTGCRGAATAGAAAGGTTTGCAGTCATTCTGAAGTGAATCTGTTTGCATTACTGCAATAGAGGGGGTGGGGGAGGGTTGTGCAGTCTTAGAGAAAAACTGCAAACAGTTTTTTGAACTATCTTGCTGACCATTCTAACGCTGTCACAGTTTTGCTCAAATGGGATTCAGACTTAGTCATTCTAGACTGCATTGCTGAAGATATCACCTAGCATAGCTGGGTTGTGATCCAGTGAAACATACTGACTTAGTGTATTTACCTATAAATTCTATCTGTTGTTTCTACTTCAGACATACTGTTTGCACCTTCAAACTRTGTGCTGCAAGCACAAAGTGGGAAGTGCTTGTTGAATCTTGAGAGTTGGAAGAAGTAACATTCACTTTGCCAGTTTCTCATTTGAAATAGGCAAAGCAAACAAATAAAATGGATGTAAAAAACCCTCTCAGCATTATCTCCATGTGTGTTACAAAAAATATTGTCTTTATACTGTATAATATACTGTCATTCTTAAAACACATAATGTTGTGTATAAAGCATGATACATGCTAAACCTCCTGGAGATCAGTCTAAATTATTGAAATTACCAACYGTATTTTCAGATTTGTCAGTAATGGAAATTTGTGATGGAAATCAAGATCTTACTGTTAGAAAGGATGCTATAGATGGCATAACAAGTCTGTGGTGTACGTGCCTGCACGCTTGTCACTTCACTGCTGTTCCTTCTGGCAGGGGCAGCTTGCAAACACTCCTTACAAAGCAGAAATGGCAGCCCCTCTGCTAAAGGATGATCTCCCTGAGCTATGGTTTATTTATGGTATATGGTATTTTACAAGGTTTGCTTCCARCTAAGTGGAAAAAGTGGCACACAAGCTATAGGAGGTTCATTCTCACTGACACACTTAAGTGTCTGCAGAGCCATTTCAACACTGCATTTCCAGCCTTCTCTATGGTTTCCAAAGTTTGCCATTTCCTTCAGCCTAGATAACAGCATAAGTCAGACAAAGGTTGTGTACTTAGTACAATGGTTACAAAGGCATATGAAACGCATAATTCTGCTGCTGTGTTGGGGTACCACTCTCCAAAAGTGTTTGGAAACATACAAAAACAATAGGAACAATCTGACMGATACATGAAAGTACCCTTTATTCTTGTGTGTGGCTTGAAATCCTCTTTTGAAATTTGAAATTTTGTGGTATATTTGACCTTTAATAATGTCAGTGATTTAATGTTCTACTAAAAGGCTGTTATTGAAAGGAGTGTGCGTGTACCTAGAAGAATACTTTCACTCTTTGTTACTGAGCAATACAATTATTTTATGTAAGAAAAGCCTTCTTTAGCAGCTTCCCAGTGTAGTGTTTCTTGATGGMGATGCTAATTTCCTAGAGAGAGAGCTCCAGGAACACAGCCTTTGAATATTGATGAAAATCAGGAGCTGTACCATCTCTTAAAAGAGCCAGGCAAAGATGAAATAGCAATATAAAAATACACTTAGCATTTCAGAGCTGCAAGCTGCTATGGGTCTGTGTGGGGTTAGGTCAGCTCGCTGCCAATGTTCAGCTGCATGGTGCCCTGCAAGGGCTGCAGGTGGGCTAACACAGGTGGCCCTCCCACTCCTCATGCCCCACCGCCAGGACGTTGTCATAGGAGGCGAGAAGCTGCTCTGGCTCCCGGGGCAAGGGGGGAAGTGTCCCTGAATCCCTCGGACACTTAAGACCAGAACCGCCCCGTAAGGGGTAAGTGCCTTCCCTCTAAACACCCATCCAGATCGGTAGCTTGGGAGCGGCATCCTTCGTGCCGTGGCTTCAGGAAGACCGGGAGGCACGGCCGCCCGCGCGAGCCTGCACACAGAGGACCCTCACTCGTGCCCGCCCCGCCGGCGCTGGGAGCACCCGGAGGCGGGGCAGCCTCTTCCCGGCGCGCCCGCCTCCGCTCCGCCGCCGCCCGGGGCTGGCCGCCGAGGCGTGAAGAGGAGCCTCCCCGGCGGGGAAGCTGAGGCGGGTTTGGGCCCTGTGCAGCTGCGGACTGGCCGCCCCATGCGAGCTCCGTCCCCCGCGGCCGCTCGCCGCCGCCCGCGCTGGGATGGAGGGGCAGGGCAGCCGCCGGCGGCAGCTCCCGGTCCTGCTGCTCTGGGGTAAGTGCCAGGCAGTGCTGGCCGGGTGCGTCCCGGCTGCGTGCGGCGGGGCTCCCTGCTACCGCTCCTTGACTGCCGCACCGGGACCGGCCGAGCATCCTCTCGTGTGCGCGGTTCCCGAGGGCAGCGCTTTCTGCCGGGGCGTGGGGCTGAACTTCGGGAAAGGCGGGAGCGCCCCACTTTGGCTGGAGCATGCCTTTGGGAGAGCGTCTCCGGGCGTGCTTTGCCGGCGGATCGGGAGGTAACGAGGATCGCTTTCCCTCCGGTGCTCTGCATCCCGAGCAGAGCGGCAGCTTCACCGCCGGCGTGTTTCACAGCGCCGGGCGGGCGGCGGGGCCGGGCGCCGCGTCAGGGCCGCTGGTTCCCTCCAACATCGCGACCACGGCAGCTCCCTGTTGCCGAAGGGAGACCCCAAACCCGGCACGGGGCGCTCAGCCGCCAAGAAAAACTATCTCACAAACTTCTGGCGTTAGTCAGGCTTTCCGCCTCGGATCTCACTTGGATTCTGCGGAGGTGTGTTTGGCTCTTGGGGAAGATTTTTTTTTTTCCTGCAGACTGAGGGGCTGATTCTTGTTAGAGTAGTTGAATTCTAAGCACAGGTATCCTTCAGATCTTTCACTTAGAGCGCCTTGGCTGCTAGAACAACTATTTTATTGTTCCTTGTCAGGTTGATTGTTTCAGAGCTCTCGGATTTAWTGTATTGCAGTCATCAAAAGTTGCCAGGAAAAATCAGTTCCACTTTTCGTCACTCAACAGTAAACTCAGAGATGTACTTGATTCCCTGTGATTCACTCTTAAGGGACAAAAAAATCAGGTCTGGTACCTTTAGAAGATGTATTGGAGGACTTAAGAAGTTCGTTTGCTATTTTACAWCCCTTCCAAAGTACAAAACTGGTAAACACTGCACATCTTTCTATGAAAAGACCCACAAATAAATWGACAGTTGTATTGACAGTGTTCAGTAGCATCATCCTTATCTGGTCTGTCAAAAGAATGATATGTCATRTGCATAAGTTTTCTGATACTCTGTGGCTTGAGGACTGCTAAAACCTTACCTTAGTTGCTCAGATTTCTGTTATTCCCTAGCTGAAAAGGAGTAAAAAGATGGCCAACACTTGTCTTGACATGTGAAAAATGTATGCAGTCTTGAACTTGGGGAACTAGGCAGTAATCTTTTTGTACGGGGACATGTTACTGTGATTTTTGCAAAGCAAAATTGCTCACTGGAGATTTATTTTCAGAGTGAAGGACAGTGTCCCAGTGGCTCAGGAAGCTACAGAAAGACATTTTTCACCAGAGACGCACAGATAAATCAATCGTGCGAGACACTTTTAACTATGCGAGCTCCATTTATAAGAGATACACACGCATAAGATTTTAAGGGTATCTATTAACTGATAGTGCTTGGAATTGGAAAGTGTAGATAAAATCAAGAACTAATGAAATGAGACTGATCTCCTAGTAGGAAACCCCTCAAAGTTCTATGATGTGAAATCAGGTTTTTAAATAAGAAAAGCCTAAAGTGTTAGAAAACGAAATTTTTCATTTGAGAATACAAACATAGTTTTAATACCAGTTATTTTGGAAGGATKTTTACTCTAGTTGAATGGTCATTCCTAATGGCTTCTTCTGATTAATCGGAGACCTGTGACATCTCTCATTAAGGTAAAAATCTTGCCATGATTCCTCAGTGTTAGCTCGCTGACTGCAGTGGGAAGCTCAGCTGGGGTGGGTGGCTGGGGCTGTACTTCTSTAATATCACACCACTACTTTCTGTAGCCTGCCTAGGACTCTTGACACACTATCACTTTGTAGACCTAACTGCTGTGTGGCCCACCCTTAGCGAGGATGGCCACAGAAGGCAATGTTTTCACTTAGTGGCTGCAGGAGAAGTGGGATTTGCCATGCRTGGGGGTTGTGTGTGTGTGGAGGGGAAGGAATGCATTGGCTGAGGTACCTGGTACACAGGCACGTCTTCAGTTCTGCCTTCCCTAGAAGTGCAGATCACATCCAGAATGGGGCAGAGCTCCAAACTCCAACTGTCAGATACTTAGAAGACACTTCTAACTGTGGAATCTAAGCACCTAAGAAATAATCTAAGAAATAACGATGTATTCACCATCATACCAAATTCTCTTGTTCTACTTCTGTGTATGAAAGTTGAAGTAAGAAGCAACTTAAGGGTTTGATCATGACTTTTAACCGATTAAGTGGGTTTTTTACACAAGCCATTGTTTTGGTATTCCTGGCCAAACATTTCTCCTTCATTCTTTATGTAACATCTGCACTTCAGTGGTACCATATGTATTTGAGTTAAAAGATTCTACCAGAGAAAAGCTGGGTATTTTTTAAAATTCTAGAGTAATCTTTGTCAGTATATTTATGTAAACCCATGTCAAGAGAGATGGTGTGATTCTTATTTGGAGCAGTTCTCTTATGCAGATTTCAAAGATTGTCTGTAGGTGTTCGCATTTCATAATCCTGTTTTCAGAGGGGTTAGCCACACCTACTGCTTTGGTCAGAGGTGAGCAACTGGACAGTTGGAAAGTTGGAAACAGAGCCTGTAACCCAACTACATATTTACTTTCTATTTTAAAGACTATACTTCATCTGCAAACAATAATGAAAAAACTGTGTATAACAGCCCAAATTCTGTAAGGTCCTGATCTCTCCTTCTGTGGAACATGGCATCTGTAACTCCTGGAGAGTTTGGATTCCAATGATGAAAAAAAAAAAAAAAACCCAATGGGAAACAATTTTAGCAGGTTAAAGTCTGAAAACGAAATCAATACTTTTTTCCCATTATTTTCTTATGAACATATCATGTTGTTCTGCAGCTGCAAAGGGTGGAACAAAGAAAGGGAATACTGTCATAGGAGTTCTGAATTTAATAGACCTAGGTGAGTGTGTGCACGTGTGTGTAAAACAAATAAACCTTTGCAAAGCAGAACATCTTATTCTGAGACAGACCACAGAGTTCTAACAAAAACACTTCTCTACCAAAACTATGCTTCATTTTCTAAAGACAATGATTTTCCACAGGAAGACAGCAAACCCCACGACATTGTGGGGGCAGCAAACCCCACGACATCCATCTGGGAAGAAAAGTGTCTAGTGTAAATGAGTCTCTGTCCCAACTTGCTGTTGGATCCAGGCATTCCTCCCACCATCCTTCACCCTATTTAGTGTCTCCTGATTCTTTTATTCGGGAAGGTGTTGCCCCTTTCCTGAGGTCTGCACATTCTCTAGGGGACAGGTTCATAGCAGTGCCCTTGAGAGGGCRAGTGGCAGGACTGTCTGTGTGGTGACAAGTGGACTGCAGGTGGTTGCACACAGCATCAAATGCCATCTCCAGCTTTTCTCCAGCTGGTTTGGTCCCAGCCTCCAGGAGAAATAGCACTCCATCTTTGAAGGTGACTCCTGGTTGAAAGGATGGAGGAGGGAAGGGGCTTTTAAATCCTGATTTACAGCAGTGAGAGCTAATCCTGGACACTATTTAGGTAGTAAACTCTTGCTCCTAAGTTACTAAGATCATACTATGTACATTGTATCTAATGTTTTAAATACCTTTGGTGTCTCAGGGCTTTGCCTTTAGGTTTTATTTTAGTTAAACCTGTGAGGCAAATCACCAGAAGCTGTGAAGGGGAGATAGAATTCTACACTGAGATACACAGGTACTGCTGTAGGTGCAGATAGACACAAACATGTGGTTTTAAAGAGAGGGTCTTGAGCATGAGCTCAAGGGGAGCTGTGGGAGGTTTTGTCAATTGAGCTGTATTTCAACATTGCACCACCAGTAGTTTTTGTATAATTTGTGTTTCAGTTTCTCCCACCCATCTACTGGTAACTGAGTTGATTCATGGCTTGAATTGCAAATGAATGAATCTATTTGCAGTTTGTCTTACCAAGCAAAAAAATGCAGCGAGTGGTCCCTTACAAAACACCATTTGCTACCATCTGTGTCTTAGCAATTGAAATTAGTACTTGAGAGACACATGAAGAAAGCAAACTGTGCTCTTATTTATGGCTCAGAGAGAGATTRATTTTCACAAACAAAATCAAACCTGTTTTAATTCACACCTTTTTGGTTTAGTGAAAGCTGTCAAACAAACCATTTTATTTCAGAATAGGATTGTATAAGTGTATTATTTTGTGTTTTATGGAAACAGCCTGTGTTTTTTCTAAAATAAGAATCTCTTCACAGCCAGGCTTGCATTGACATAAACTAGAAAACATAAATGTTAAAAATTGACATTATTTTAATGTGGTTGCACAACAACCTAGAAGCTGTTTGAAAGACTGTTGGGTCATGTGTTGGTATGTGCAGGCTTGAGGAAAGAAAGGAGCAGCAAAGTGAAATGGGAGAAGGGTGCCCTTTCAGAATATTTTAGGCTTAATCTCCCTTCATATGTTGGCTTCCCTGAAACCACTCTGGAAAGAGGAGAAATGCAGTTGCACTGTTAGCAATGGTCTGAAGATGGAGAGGATCCCTCTTTGTCTTCAGATCAGCTTAATGTCATCTACCATATTGTCTTGGACAAGGGCATGTCTGCATAATGGCCTGTGGACTCAATTTATCTCCAGGAATACAGAATTTTGCCTGTATGGAGAGAGACTGGTGGTCTTCTGCAGAAGCAATTTCACTTATTCACCCATGCTCTGAGCCAGGAGTGCTTTCACAGGAAGAGGAAGATGTGGAAAGTGCTGCCAGGTCCCTAACAGTTCACCAGGCTGATCAAAGCACATCTTGTCTAACTGGATTAAGATGGGTAAGCAAAGGACTGTGCAGAAGCACTGGGCTCTGCAATAAAGCATCTGTCTTAAGATTTTCACACTCTAATAAATGAGACTGCTTTGCCATTATTTTATAGAGCATTATCTGGGGAAAAATGTTCTGTGGGCAGTGTCAGAATAAGTAGTGTAATTAACATTTGCCAATAATGACTGTCCCTTCTTGTGTGAAATGATTTTGTTTCTAAATGTCACAAGTGACAGATTTC